AATATTAAAGTAATGGTTATTAAAATTATTTAAAGCACCCCTTTTCTCTATCTGGTGGACTTTGATGCTCAAAACCATCTCAATAAATGTCATTGTGTCTTAAAGGCAACCTATGTGTACAGATATATCTGGATTGTAGTTTATTTCTTGTAGTCTTTGTCACAGCTCTGAGTTTACTTTCTTCATAATGCTAATCATGACTTACACTTAAATCTTTGTTTGCATATCTGCTTGTGGTTCTTCTTCACCTTCTCTTCATCCCTTCAAAGTCTGAACTCGTGGGATGAACAAATATTTAATGAATGAGTAAATGGAAATGATTTAGCATTTTAGTTTATTAAACTTGTAGTTGTCTCATGGGAATATCTCCAAGTAATGCTTTTCTATGTTCACAGTTGTATTTCTCTTTAAGATTCAAATACTTAAGAAGTATTGCTCCCCCTCCCCCCCCCAAAAAAAAAAAACCCACAGATTTTGGAGAATTTCATTGGGTAGGGGTGTAAAAAGGTGAAATCTTAGGACAAAATTGACATTGTTGGGGAGATAAATTTTTACTTTATGACTCAAGCATATAATTTTCATTTAAAATCTAAGAGAAAAATCAGTTCACGTGTTTGAGGAAATTAAAAAGTAGTGACATCCATGAATAGTTGGTTGAAAATTCTGATTATATAATTTTCACATATTTTTGTACCTGTGTCTGAAAATTAATTAGTATATGATAGCCAAGTGTAAAAATGGCCTGATGGGGGTATCTGACCTCCTCTAATTTCACAAGGGGGGTGGAGAATCAAGATCAACAGCCCAAGGCTGATTGCTATGAGGAGTAAGTCGCGCATGCCTCCACCCTCCGACCTGCTTACCAGTTCTGACACCATCTGTCACTCCCATGGCACTCTCTACTTCTCTACTGGGTTTGATAATTTGTTGCAGTGGTCACACAGAACTCATAGACCATACTCAGGATTATGGGGTTTATTAGTATAACAGGTTACAGTTCACAATCAAGTATGACTCAGTTCTTAAGTCAGGACAGCTTCTCGGTGGCCGTGCCCACAGGCAGGCCTCTCCATGGCCCTTGATGTCAGCCCCTCAGGCCTCCCCGGCCTCTACCCTGCTCAGGCAAGTGTTACAAAGCTCTTATCTCTGCCAGTAAGTGCCCAGAGGTACCCCACTCTGCCAGTAAGCCTCCTGCCTGAAGGCGCTCAACTCTCTGCGTGGGTCAGAGAGCCTAGCTCCTGCCAAGTGCCTGGAGGCACCCTACTCCACCAGCAACGCTCCTGTCCACAGGTGATCAGCTTTCTTGCTCTGGGCTGAGAAACCCATTGTGGCATCTACTGCCAGTCTCCTGGTTCTGCTACCTCTACTGATGGAATTTATCTGCTGCTGCTTCTCACTGTCTCTGGTGTTACAGCTCTCTCTGTCTAGAGTTTCTCAGCACAGGGACCCCGGATCCAAAGGATGTGCTCAGCCCCCAGCTCTTCTGTGTTGGTGGTAGGAATTCCCCCTCTGCTTTGTGATTGGCTCTCTTTTAAGCCTAGTGGGATTGTGAAACTGACCAATCTCCTCGTTAGGGTTCCGTGCACTTTATTGCATTGTCCCATCCTCAGTTTGTCTATTTTTTTTTGTTGTTGTTGGTTATGCTTTTGATGTCACATGTTCAATGTCATCTTTAAAGATAATAATTCCCATCTTTCACTGTCATTCTTAGAATTAAATGTGATATCAAAAAGTAAGGAACCCTCAGAAGAACTGCATAGTGCCTGGCTACCATTACTGAACATTTTGAGCAAAGATTTTGTTGAAAAATCCTGATCAAAAGGGTGAAAATGCGAAACAGAATTTCAAATTCTCATGGAAGCCAGACTTTCTGGAGCTAGGGAGGCAGGGTGAACCCCTGAAACTGTTACCTGAAATAATCTTTAAACCTTAAACCAAAATATTCCCTGAAGTCTTGTTAAAACCAGATAGTAGTTTAGCTTAACTAGTAAAAAAATGTCTACCTTGAGCATTATGCTCTTTTAAAAACTGTCTATATGGGATCAAACTGACGACAGCAACTTGAAAGATAGGAACCTTAGGGGGCGGTGAGTTTATGTTAATGGGAGAGGAACAACTCAGAAAAGGAGGGTGAGAATGGTTGCACAACTTGAAGCGTGTAATCAGTGTCACTGAGTTGTACATGTAGAAACTGTTGAATTGGTGTATGTTCTGAATTATTTAAAAAAAAAAAAAAAAGATAAGGAGCCCTGGTGGTGCAACAGTTAAGTGTTCTGCTAACCGAAAGGTTGGCATGGGCAGTTTGAACCCACCAGCAGCTTCGTGGACGAAAAGACTTGGCAATGCTCCTGGTGATATTACAGCCTAGCAAACCCTATGGGACAGTTTTACTCTGTTGTAGGGTCCCTATGAATTGCATTTAACTCAACAGCAACGAGTTTGGGTTTTTTTGTATCCCATTATTTCCAGCTATCATCTCTGTCTGTGTCTGTATCAGTCTCTCTAGTATGCCGAACTCCATCAGTCATTCAGACCTACTAGAGTCTGTTGATACTATAGTCCACCTCTCACTGTCTTGTCACTTTCATAACCTTACTTTTCTCTTCATCCTGCTTAAATTCCATGAGTATACTGATCAACAGACGGAAATCAGTTGGGTTTCTGTACACCAGCAGTGAGAAATCTGAAAGGGAAATTAGGGAAACAGTTCCATTTACAGTAGTGTCTAAGAGAATAAACTACCTAGGAATAAATCTAATCAGGGATGTGAAGGACTTACATAATGAAAACTATAAAACACTCCTGAAAGAGATTATAGAACCCTTAAATAAATGGAAAGATGTCCTATGTTCATGGTTTGGACTATTTAATATTGTAAACATGTGAATACTACCCAAAGTGATCTATAGATTCAGCGCAGTCCTGATCAAAATTCCACCAGCCATGCTTACAGAAATAGAAAAAACAATCCTCAACTTTATGTGGAATGGCAAGAGGCCTCAAATAACTAAAACAATGTTGAAAGAGAAGAACCAAGTAGGAGGACTCATGCTTCCTGATTTTAAAACATACTATACAGCTACAATAATCAAAACAGCGTGGTGTCAGTATAACAATAGGCACATAGACCAGTGGAATAGAATTGAGAACCCAGAAATAAACCCACGCATGTATGGTCAACTGATTTTTGGTGCTAAGGGTGCTAAGTCCATTTGATGGGGAAAGAAGAGTCTGTTTAATAAATGGTGCTGGGAAAATTGGGTTTCCACATGCAGAAAAATGAAACAGGATCCATGCCTCCCACAATACACAAAAACAAATTCAAAATGAGTTAAGGACCTAAGTGTGCAAACTAAAACCATAACATTCTTAAAAGAACAAGCTGGGGCGACACTGTCAGGCCTAGCTTTCAACAATGGATTATCTAGCGTAATAACAAAAGCACAAACAGCAAAAGACAAAACAAATGGGACCTCGTAAAAATTAAAAACTTCATCAAAAGACTTTACCAAAAAAGTGAAAAGACAAGCTACTGGCTGGGGAATATCTCTGGAAGCCGTATATCTGACAAGAATCTAATAACGCAAACATATATAAAACTTCGACAACAACAAAATGACAACCCAGTCATAAAATGGGCAAGGGACTTGAATAGACATTTCACCAAAGAGGACGTTCAGGCGGCCACAAAACAAATAAAAAGATGCTCAGCATCATTAGCCATCAGAGACATGCAAATCAGAACCACAATGAGATAACCATTTCACTCCCACTAGGATGGCTAAGGTGAAAAAACAGAAAATAACAAATTTTGGCGAGGATGTGGGGAAATTAGAACCCTTACCCGTTGCTGGTGGGAATGCAAAATGGTACAGCTGTTGTGGAAAACAGTGTGGCAGTTCCTTAAAAAACTAAATTAGAACTAAAAGTATGACCCAGCAATCCCACTCCAAGGTATATACCCAAAACACTTGAAAGCAGAGACTCAAAAAGACTTGTACACCAGTGTTGATTACAGCACTATTCACCGTAGCCAAAAGGTGGAAACAGCCTAAATGCCCATCAACAGATGAATGGGTAAACAAAATGTGATGCACACATGCAATGGAATACTACTCAGCCAGTAGGGAAAATGAAGTCTTAATACATGTAACAGTATGGATGAAGCTGGAGGACATTATGCTGAGTGGAAATAACTCAATCACAAAAGGACAAATATTGTATGACCTCACTTACAAAAGACAAAAAAGAAAAAGCAAATATATAGTGACTAAAGTTTATTAGTGGTTACCAGGGGCAGGAGGGAGGGGGGGAAAAGTGGGGCTAACGGTGATGGAAGAATCACATTGATTAAAGGTAGGGTTGCACAGCCCATCACTGTAATTTCTGTCAGTTGTATACCTGTAAAAAGTTGAATTAGACGAAAAAGTTGTGTGGTAGGTATATTTACAACAAGGACTCCCCCCCAAAAAAAGAGTAGCTGCTGAGGCTGCTTATATACAACCAAAATCTTCATGAGGTTTGGTTCCTTGGTTTGGAGGTTTAGGGTCATGGTTTCATGGGACATCCCAGTTAATTGGTCTAATTGTGTTTAGTGCTTCTTTTCTCCCTCCTAGTTCATTGTGTAGCGCCTGGGGTCTTAAAAGCCTGTAAGCAGCTGTCCAAGGCACAACAGTTGGTCTCTATTTACCAGGTGCAACAGAGGAAGAAGGAAAGTCAGAAGTAGGAGGATATGGAATGTGTGGCCAATAGTCTCCATGAACAGCTGCCTCCTTTGCCCTGAGACTGGAAGAACTGGATGGTGCCTG